AAGATGTCCATTCTTAACATTTCTATTCAATATTTTACTGAAGTACAAGTTCTAGGACAGCAAAATAATGCCCAAAGATGACACAAAAATCATGCAGAAGGGAAAAGATATGTAAAACTGTGTTTGATCTCAGATAATATGTAGAAAATCCTGCAAAATCTACAAAAAAGCTACCAGAATAAAAGTTTCTCAAGCTCACTGGATACAAAATCAATATATAAATATTAATTGTATTTGTATTTATTAGTAATAATCAGAAATTGAAAAATAAAAGAATATCATTTTAATGGTCGAAATTATGAAATCATAAAGGGATGAATTTGACAAAAGATGTGCAAGACCTGTATGCTGAAAAGTACAAAACACTGGTGAGACAAAATTTTTAAACACCAAATAAATGGGGATCTAAATAAATACAAAGATGATACAGTGCTAATGGATCCGCATTCAGACTAAATATGTTAAAGATAGCAATTCTCCATAAATAACCTATATACTCAGGGAAATTTCAATCAAAGTTCCAGCTTCTTATGGACCAGAATGACAAACCAATTCTAAAAGTTACATGGAAATATGAAACAATTTTGAAAACAAGGCTAGAGAATTCATAATACTTGATTTCAAGACTTATTTTAAAGCTTCGGTCAAAAAGATAATGTGGTATTGGCTTAAAGACAGAAATACTGGACAAAAAAAAATAGAAATAACCAAAGCACAGAGAAAAATAGAGTTTAGAAACAGATACACATACATGTGTTCATTAATTTTCAAGAAAAGTGTAAAGGAAATTCAAAAAAGAAGAGTTTTTTTCAACAAATACTGCTGGAACAGTCAGTATCCAAATTTTAAAAAAATGAACCTATATTAATAACCCATACTATATATATATATATATAAACATTAACTCAAAATGGATCATGATCCTAAATACTGAAACCTTAAACTTAAAAACTTCTAACAGAAAACATAGTAGAAAATCTTTATGACCCTGAGTTGGGCAAACAGTTCTTAGATTTGAGCTCAGATGTTAACAGAAAACTTAAAATGGAGTTAATCAATTAGGAACTTAAGTTCTCTAAAACACTGTTGAGAAAATGAAAAGAGGTCAGGCACTGTTGCTCATGCCTATAGTGCCGGCACTTTGGGCAGATCACTTGAGCCCAGGAGTGCACACAAGACTGGGCAACATGGCAAATCCTGTCTCTACAAAAAAAAAAAAACAAAAAAAACAAAAATTAGCCAGATGTGATGGTGTGCACCTATAATCCCAGCTATTGAGGAGGCTGAGATGGGAGAATCCCTTGAGCCTGGGAAGTCAAGGCTACAGTGAGCTGAGATGATGCTACTGCACTGCAGCCTGAGGGAGGGAGGGGGAGAGGGAGGGAGGAAGGAAGGAAGGGAGAGAGGGAGGGAGGGAGGAAGGAAGGAAGAAAGGAAGGAAGGAAGGAAGGTAGGTAGGTAGGTAGGTGGGAGAGAGGAGAAAGGGGAGGGGAGGGGGAGGTGGGGAGGGGAGAAGGGGAGACAATTGTGCAGCAGAGTTAACTAAACGGGCCTAGATTGTAAAAACCATGGACATGACTAAAGCCTGTCTTGAGAACTGTCCTCAGTCAGTTCCCTGAAAATAAGCTCTGAGCCCTTGGAATATTCTGTTTGATGAATATTTTTCTACATCTAGAGGCTTGGGTCACATGGCACACTTTGATTAGAGTTTATGCTAACTATGTGATTTGTGTTGAATCAATTTTTACTCTAGGGGGATGGACTCTACATAGTTAAGTTCAGTCACACAATCGTTGCATGCATACTTGACTGACTCCCAATAAAAACCCTGGGCAACAAGGCTCAAGTGAGCTTCCCTCAATGAACTCACCACGAGATGTCCCACT